TTCTACATCCATTTTTTACATTCTACCCTCACCCTCCCTCTCATAATTCCTTTTTCAAGCACTTATTAAACTTATTATTTCAACAACTTGTAAATTTCTTAACTAATAGTCATGTGTACTCTGTATGTAACAAGCAATTCACATAAATCCGTTATCCTTCCATCTACTCAGTCATTTTGTTCAAGGAACACTATCTTTACCCCTGTTTTCTATATTACAAGCAAACTGTTATTATGTCACAAATTATTTTTTCCACTACTTCTGACACAGTTTACAAGAATTTTCCAATAAAGAATTACTTTCACAAAACAAACCTAATTTACATTTAAATTGAATCCTCCTTTTTCTCAATGATTTTTAAATAATTTAAATAAATGAATCATCATTAAAGGTACAACTACAAGTTTAATTTGTCTATTCTAGTAACTTGTATTTTTTTTCAAAGTACCTGTGCTCTGTATACATCAAGGGCAATCTCTTGTATTCATAATGACAGAGGTAAAACTTCCACTTGGAACCAGTCACTGTAAAATTTCTGTATCAGTCACATAAATACGGTTATTTTTGATCATTTCGTATATTTGTAGTCCTTCCTCTGCACATATGTCCATTGGTAATACAAATGCAATTAATAAAACACATTTTTTCACTGTATTTTGAATCCTTCCAATTTATCTTTCTCTTGATTATATAGTTTATTTGTTTTCATATATTAAACTAAAAGGTATTAATACATTTAACAGTTTTCTAGGTTAATTTTTCTCAATAGTTCCGTATTAAAATGTTATTCAACTCATATCTCTTTTTATTGATTGTATAACAATTACTTATATAAAACTTACAATACTAAGTATCACTTCACCATAATTTCCACTTTGTAACTCTAATTTTGTCTTTGTCTTTTGTCCATAGTACAAGTACAACACAACAGAGGTAGGTTAAATCAAATTCTATTTAATGATGTTTGTGTATAAGTCTATATTCTGTTTTGTACTATTCCTTTTATTCGTTACCTCATCACGTTCTTTTCATTTAAATAAAATATCACTTTTTCTAATTTGTTTTTAACTCACCTAATAACTTTTAAATTTTCCATTTTCATAAACATATTAAAGACTCTTTTTCACACCCACTTTGAAAATACTTCGTCACTGTTATGACGTTTTATTCATGTACTGGTCACCATTATATGTAATTACCCGCACCTGTGTAAATTTTTTTTAAAAGATCTTCCATTATTCTTTTAATGTTTTGTTTTTAGCCTTCTTTTTATAACAGGAACATGTCAGTTAATTTCTTGATTTTATTCTTCAGTATACAAACAAGACCAAATTCCCCCAAAAAAAACTTTTCCCATCCAAGTAAAGCCATCTTTTCAGTAATGCACCACATACACACAAATACCCAACATCACGTACAAAACCTAAGTTTGTCATGTTAATTTCAAATATTTTGAATCTGAATTTAATACTATCTTCCATCTTATATAAATCATTTAAACTTTAAGTTATTACATACTTTTTTTTTTTTTCCAAAAAGTTCTTTACTTCATTTACTGTCTGTCCTACCCTTTCTGAGCTTTTTGAACAATAATCCACATTTCTTCATAGCTGTCATGTTGTATAAGACAAAAGCTTCCAAACAACACTTGTAAATTATGCCGTATTCTTTTACGAAAAATCAGGGACTATACATATGCCACGTATTGTGTCAGGTCAATCAGTCAAACATTGATGTAACAGAGCTAAACTAACACACGGTGCTAATCTGATCAAGAAATAGTATGCATATCAGAGCAGCAGATACAGACAAGAGGCTCTATACACATTTCACTATACTTACATTACCAACTTTAGATTATTATTGATTAATTCTATTTTATACTTTTTGGTTTGCTTTATTATTTTTGACCTAAACAGTGTTATTACAGCCATTTCGTCTTATTTCTCTCTCCACATTTTCAATTAAAAAATCTCTCTAGCTGTATACCGATTTATTCTTTTCCTCACTACATCCTTAGAATGAAGTTTCACATCTTTCTTCTACCATTTCTTCTTCCACTTAATGCAGGCAGAAATTACTACACTTTTGTAATATACACAAACTGGGTTCAGACTATTTTCCACTGTTAAT